CGACCTCATGAGGGTCACGCTGGTTATGACCACAAAGTCAGGGCCCGTCATAATCCACAAAATTCCTGGTGACATACCTCTGGAATCGCTTTTATTCGCCGACGGTCTCTGGGAGGTAATTGCATAACCTCTGTCTTCAACCTTGCCTCCGCGGCATCTCCAGAGGAGGGTTTCGATACGGCCGACGGCTTGTCGTTCGCCGACACCCAACATGCCACGCCATGGTCGGGGAGATCTCTTGTGAGGTTCCCTATGATCGCACATATAAAATTGTTGTGGAGGTGTTCGGTCTTCTGGTCGGCGCAAATTATGTGATCAACGCGCGACGCGAGCTCATTTTGATTGAGATGTCCTGCCACAAGGGATCGGTCGTCAGCTCCATGACGAGCAAAAGAAGCGAAGCGAAGCAAGTAGGAAACAGGCGCACATACCCAGAAGGAATAGAGTTGTAGATTCTTTGTACTCAGCCCAGTTTTCACCGATAGCGGCTTTTAGTTCCGTGTAGATAGGTTCGAGATCCAATCGCGGAACTGATATCAAAGCCTTTGTAGACTTTTGTGTCGTCGCAGGGCCAGGTGCTGCGGTCTTGGATGATGCGGTCGCAGTTGATGCAGAGTCTGTCCGACTCAGGGCTGCCGGATCAATCTGCATGATTGCAAGGCTCGCAAAGGCGCGACGGGCTGCGCGAAGCCGGAAGTGGGGAGAACTAGGCCTTCATTAATGAGAATACATGCCATTAAACTGGCCCCCGATTTGCTCTGGGTCACGGTTGATAAAGGATCGCACAGATGGGCGAGATCTCGATGAAAAAAAGCGGCGCGTTGATGACCGGGGCGATGGAAGGAGGTCGGGGGTGAATCGTGGAGGTGGACGACTTCCCCGCCAAAAGCAGAAAGATGAGGTCCCAGTCACGACAACCGACCGCAATTGCGGCCAGGCGTACAGATCGCAGAGAGGACAATGCTACAGAGATACCTTGATGATTCAAGAGGGAATGGACCATTGGTGAATTACGTATAGAGCTTCAAAGAGTTTCGGTCAGGATACGCCTAGTAAACTAACTTAACTACATCCTCATTGAGCACACCGAATAATCTACCAATCTCTTCCATAATTTCCACAATCTCGGTCGATAATTGACCTGTCACCAGAACTACAATTAAGATCAGTCAATGTCAGGTCACTTTGCAATATGCAGCTCCATAGAACGTCCATGCGTTCCCGAGCGGCGGAAAGGGGACCAGGCTCAACTTACTGTAGGCATAGAGCAAGGCATAATCTTCGTCTGTTGTCAATCGAGAAGCCTCGGGGTCCTTGCGATAGTGAAATATACGGGCAAGAAGTCGATCTCGGGCGTGCTCAATGTTCGGAAGTACATCGATCAGCGGATATTCCAACTTCATAGAAGACGCCATGACTGTCAAGTGTCAGCTAGTCAGAACATAGCAATGCGTTAGGGACATGCAAGAATCTACCTGATAATAAGTGGCTGATGCGGGCAGACAAATGCTCTCTTTCCTGAGCTGTATAATTGAGTAGAGCCAGTTCACCTTCCGAAGCGGTCACATTTTTGATCATCTCTAGATTCATGGCGTGGAACGCGTCCACCATACTCCTTGTGCGACGGAGTATATTGCTGTATGCAGCATCGGGAAACGGACTTTTCAGCTCAAATTCTGCACGAGCTGCAGCTCGAAGAGCTTCCAGACGAGACAGAAACCGCTCAATCTCCAGCTTCTCTCTTGGAGTCATGAAGCCCGTGGAACTTTCCCCTTTGGCCAGTAGGGACAACGGGTAGCGCTTCCAGATCAGACTCATACGAAGCCATAGAAGGCTCAGGCCGTCCTTGAGCTCCTTGCGCGCGCTAATAGGCCAAATGAGCCGCGTAATGATGATGCCCCAGATGCAGCCAGACAAAACTGCTGCAACTCGATGGAGCGTTATGTCGGTGATGATGGGAGAGTCGCCACCCTCATCCTGGTCGTCACTACCCTCTTTTTGCGTCAAAGAGTACGCGTACAGTACAGAAAGATTGTAGGTGAGCATAATGAATCGACCCATCGGTCCCTTGCCCATGACAACGATTATATAAGATGTCCAAATTGCCATGACCAGACCGAGAATGGCCAGTCCAAACACGTTCCCATCGGTCACGTACCACGCCGTAATGGCACAGATCGCTCCTAGGCATGTACCTAGGAATCGAGAATAACCAGTGGTATTGGACGCCCCGATTGTCATAGAACACACCAACATATAGGATAACAAGCCCCATTCACCTCTCCAGTGAGAATAGAAAGGCCGTGTGGATTCAAGAAAGGCCGGCAAAGCGTACAGGGCCGCTCCTGTGCCGACCTTGATCGCGAACTTTGTGTCTTCACGTCGGAATACTCCGAGCGATTTCCAGATTCGATAACTGAGGCGCTCCTTCGTGGGCAGTTTTTCCGGGCGTTTTGTTGGAGGTGTCTGTCTACCTTCCAGTCCAAAGGGGCTGATAGAGGCCACAGGAGTCACCCCTTCTCCTACCGTTGGCCCAAGTAACGGTTGTTCTGTACGATCTTTCCATTAGGACCAAGTAGATAAGAAGCGCTTGTGCCAGCTTGACAGAACTTACCAGAATCGAGCGGCTTCGTGTTCTGGGTTTGGGCTGTTCTCAACCGCCATATTTTCAACCAGCTCCATGATCTCCCATTAGGTCTCTCCTCGGCTTCGAGTTGTAGTTCGTCTAAGATACCCAGCAGGTCTTTCAGCTGTTCGCCAAATTCCAGTAGTGAGAAACTGAAATGACCGCAGCTGGCAGAAACTTCCTCGAGATCCGCTTCTACCTCCGGCGTTTGGACCTGTAAAAGTTCCTTCTGCCGATAGATAACCTTCAGAGCCTTCTCTCGCGATTCTTGATAGAGTTCCAGCGCGCGATCAAGACTAACATGGAACCTACTGTTGACAGAGACTTTATAATCAGGCGCAGGCGTAAAAGGGATCTCTTTGAAAATTTCTTTCAAGGTGAAAGCAAGGGACCGCTGTTGAGCGTTAGCATAAGCTCAGCGTGGTTCAACCACAACGAGATTGACATACCATGGAAGGTCCTAAGTGACTGATGAACAGCGCAAACAAGTCTTCGGGTTGAAGGGTACGCTCGACGGAAGATCCTTCGTCTCGGGCCGGATTAGGATCAGAGTGGTCTCCACTGTGTCGATGATCATCTTCAGTTTCTTCCTCTTCCTCTCCTCCAAGTTGTTGTTCAGGCATCTCGTCAATTGATTCGAGAAGTGTACTGTGCCCGTGCGAGGAGTAAGGACTTGGCGATGGCACATGGTCAGTACCATTGGGCGCATGCTTTCTATCGCGGCAAGATACTGGATCAACCAGCTTCGCTTGCTTCAAAAGTTGAAATTGCAGCGAAGCAGCACTGCGTAGTCCTCCCATATTGTGTGTGATATCTTGGACCCATCGAACTAAGTTCTTTTCTAGCCTGTATTCCTTCTCTGTCCCCGCGACGTAGTGCTCGAGCTTTGCCTCTCGGACAAGCTTATCGAGTTGGGCATATGCCTTTTTGTGTCTCTCAGCTGCGTCGAGGAACTCGACCGTCTGGAGTTCCTCCTCAGAGCCACTCAGAAAGCTGTCCGTAATGAGTGCCAGCATGATTGCCAGAGTCTCAGTCACAATAGCGAGGTTCGAGCGTAGCTTTTTCCGCGCGGAGATGGGGAATATCAAGAATGACACGGCCATGGCAGCGGTGACGCCCATGATGACCATCTTCAAGACTTGGACGACCTTGGTGAAGGACAAATCTCCGCTTTGCACCGCACCTTCTTTCGTCAGTACAGTGATGGACGCAAGCGAAGCAAGAGAACAGGCGACATTCACAAGCGGATCCGCGAATCTTTGTTTCGTCCATCCTATGAAACCCAAGCCACCTCCGCAGAACACTATAAGGACAACGGCATGGCCAACTGCGCGCATGTCCAGCGTATCCTGGAAGAACATGCTAACACACATGCTCGTTAGGGAAATGAAGGCTGCGTATAGGAAGGCCAAGAGAGCGCAAATCAGCGCCTTATACATGCTGCCTTGTGTCCGCGCTGGATGGAAATATACTGTGACAGTAGCCACCACATGCTTGCCATCTTGATGGCCCAGGAAGGCCGCAACCGCGGGGATGAAAGTAGCAAGAGACCCGAGTAGGTAGGCCAAACTGCATTTCAAAACCCCTATTCCGGGCTCGGAGGTGACAAAATCACGCGTCCAGTGCCATACGTCCGAAAGTCGACTCCAAATCCCCGATAGAACGTCCTGATGGTTCGCGGAGACTTCCCCGGAGAGAAGGCCCCGTCGCTCATCATCACTGCTGGTTACAATATCTGAGCTCCGTAGATTGACAAGCCCTCTTAAGCGTTGACCAGTCTTGGGTAGAACAAACGTTGCTTGTCGAAGCTGCATGAAATACAAAAGTTAGGATTACCGCTGTCTACATCAGGGAGCTGGGGAGGGCGATCATGTTACCTTCGTTGGGCGCAGAAAGCGACGGGAACCTCTAGACGAGTCCCCAGACAGAGACATGTTACCAGCTCATTGTCCTTTGCCTTTCGCAAGGCACACGAAAGAGCCCATTACTGTGAATTTATTCAGTATTATTGGGTATTGAGTCGCATATGTTCAACAGAAACTTCGCTGCGCGGACTGTTTGGGCGATCACTTTGGGGGTGTCCACTTTAGGCTTTAGGCCGGTGTGGAACGCGCGCCTAGCAGCCATTACGTAGTGATACCAGTGATACATAGCTACTGCCACGATTACGCGCTCAGACAAAAGAACGCTTATAATTATTGCTACAATTAATATGTAGTCGAACCAAAAGATAATATGTGCAGATGTTATAGAAGTTATGCTATGATTCTGCCAATATATCCATCGACAATCCGAAGCCTGAAGGATGATTAGCAGTCAAGTAATACGAGCTCCAATGATGACCTTCACTATCGCCTTGCGCATTGAGATGATCCTATTCCAACCCTTCTACTTTCCAAACCTTGACTGCGGCATCAGCGCCGGCAGAGGCAATCCTAGACCCGCCTGCAAGCCAGGCAACACCATTGACGCCCTCCTTGTGAGCGTTGGACGCTTGCAACCAATCTCCTTGGTTGGCTAAACTCCACACAAAGATGTTCGTATCCAAAGAACCACTCACTAGGAGCGTGCCACTTTCATTCCAGGCAATGGAAGTAATTCTTGCTGTGTGTGCTGTCCAACGGTCAGTGACCAGACTGCCGTCGGCCACCTGGTACACGAGCACGCGGCCTCGCGAGTCACCAATGGCCAGCAGAGACCCATCGGGCGAAAATGCCAGAGCAGACACTGGGTTCCGAGAGGCTTTAATGTCTGTCTTTGGAGACAGACTCGAGTTGGAAATCTCGCAGATCTGCACGGTTGAATCTTCGCCTCCAACCGCCGCGACATTGCCACGAGCCGCGACAGCAGTAACTGTGGATTTTGGTTTGAAATTGCCGGTCTTCTTTCCATCCTTATAGATCTCAACGCCTTCGGATGTACCCACCAAAACTGTCGAGTCACCGGCGGCGACACTCTTGGGCTGTCCAGAGAGCTTGGAGTTACTTCCAGTATATGTTCTGGCGCCGACATCGACGGACCGCAACGTATCATCCCAAGCCACACTGTAGATCCTGCCAGTTCCTTCCTGTGTCGACGCGAGACCTGCGACATATGCCGAATGGCAGTCCCCGTCCGCCTCCTCAGCAGCTCCAGTGGTTACGTCCCAGCTGCACACCCTTCCATCAAAGCTGCCGGTCCACAGTGTCTCGTCCTTAGCCTCAGAGCGGGATTGAGTCAAGGATGTTATGCTCTTCTGATGACCTTGAATTACCTGTCTAGGCTCAGGCGTCCCTTCGACAAGGTAGTTCAGGTCGCCGCTGAGTGATAGACTAATAAGCAGATTGTCGCTTCTGCCGGAAGGCCAAACCACACCCACTTGCTGGTCGCGGACGTTGGAGCTTCCCTCCTCTCCCAAGGTCCAGCTCTGACAGACCTTGCCTACCTCCGCATCCCAGATTTTCACGGTTCGATCAGCGCTTGCGGTGACAAACTTCTTCGAGTCCTTCGACCATGACACGCTGAAGATACTTCCTTTATGCTCTCCTTCACCAACCTGATCTTTAGGTTCGCCAGTCTTTCCGTCGTAGAGCCAGATCTTTCGATCGGCACCAACACTAACCAATGTCGAACCATCGGGGCTGAATCCAACTCCGTATATGTAATTGGTGTGCTTGTCCCTGATTCCTGTATTGAATTTGAACGGCGCTCCGTGGTAAAAGACTAGATTCTTGTCGTCGCCAGCTGCAGCCGCTCGCAGCGGTCTCTGTTGCCTGATGGAGACGGAATTGATCTGCTGTGTATGTCCGTAGATCTCACCAACAGTGTTGCCACTATCCCAAGTGATACAGTGGCCGTATCTCTGCTTTCCATCACCAACGGCGATGATGCGCTGAGAGTCGCCGTCCCAGGCGAGATCATTGATACGACCGTTAACGATGCTGTATTCACCCTTTGTGGTTCCTTCACCGACGCAATCCCAAACTCTTACTAGACCAGTAGCGTCACCACTGGCAACGTAAAAGCCAGAAGGCGAGAAGCGAGCAACTGTCGTCTGTGCCTTGTGTTCGGTATACTGCCTAGCGATGGAGGGGTTATCGATCGAACGCAAGAAGATGGATTTACCGGACTGTATGCCAAATTTGTCAGCTATCGTTGATTCTGATAGTCAGCAAAGCTTTCACCACGATATTCATACCGCATAAGCCAGACGTTCTCCTTTCGCATCCGAGGATAACTGGGTGGGCTGACCCCTCGTGGTGGAGGGGCTCGCGGCCCAGATGGATTCTACAAGCCAGTCAGTGTTTATACCGCTTAGAGCAAGGAACAGAGGGAGTCAACCATTGGTGATGGGCATGACTGGACCAGCAGACAATGACAAATGATCAATAATATAGAAAGGCACAGGGCAGGGGGAAAGGAGTAGACTAAATAGTTGACAAGGTTGAAGATGGGGGGATTGTTTACTCCACCACTACTCCGTACTTTTCGGCAGGGACCTTTGACGTATGTATTAGTGGGGAAAGCCAGTTGAGCAACCACAACCAAATCTTCCTGGAACAGTAAAACAAGAATGATCTAAAAATCTAAAGAATCTAGGCTAATATGTTAATAGCTGAGGTGACGGTATAGATTCTATCCATAACATAGCCCTTCTTAATCCAATCAATAGTAGTAGTACAGGTATCTCCCATTGCGAACATCTTGGGGATCGATAATGTGGTAAGACATGAAAATTAAACAACTCCGGCCGTGCATATTTCGACATCATATTGAATACACGCAAACGAGCTCCCACGTCTAATAGATGGGGGTTCCCTCCATCCTCGCCTTTGCTTCCGCTGCCAGAATCTCGGGATGTCTGTGGACACTTGGCATGAGGCCGATGCCGATTGCTCTCCGAATGGCCTTTGCAATCTTTCGCTGGTTGACGGGTCGTAGGCCGGTTGTGCTTCTGTGCTTTATGCGGCCCATCGGGGTGATGTATTCGGACATTATAGAAAAGTTCTGTGGTGGAAATAATGCCTGGTTAGCCATCCACTGCGTCTTTGCGCTCGAATGAGAACGAGAGCAATAGCGTTCTGGATTCCAAGCAAACCTTGTAAAGATCAAGCGGATTCATGTTCAAAGCGTCAAAGGCATCTGCTGCCGGGCCCTGGCGTTTTCTCCACTTCTTCATTTCTGCCGGACTGAGATCATGGGGAGCGTAGATATCACCCGCTTTCCAATCACGAGTCTGAAACTTTTCTAGGGCCCTACTTTCGCCTTGGGCCTTCTGGTCCTCGAGGAATTTCTGGCGGTTTGGTAGGCGACGGCGCTGGAACACTCTGTCTAAACGCACAAGTCAACAGCAGGTCCGAAAAGCATTCCTTCACAAGATTTCTCAAACTATTCTTCGAGAAATAGGGGACAGGAGGTATGCGCACTTTGAAACACGGCAGCAGTACGTTGATGGGCTGGCTTGCTGGGCAGAGTTGAACTCCATCGGCAGGTCGAGAAGGAACCAAGACTTGAACCTAACGACCGAAAAGGCGATGAAGAAAGGATATTGAAAACCATCTTGTCGTCACTGTCTTCACCCTGCCTTCACAATTTCAGGCTGAAAAACGTTCGAAGATGAGACGAGATCACTGCTAGATCCTTGATCGGAGACTGTCAGGAAGTGGAGCACATCAGTTTGGATTTCTTTTCGCTGCGCCAAGAGCCGCACCACTTCCGCTGCTGTCTCCCTTTCATTGCTCTTTTCATCAACGTCCAGCAAATCCGAGGGACTTTCCGCATTTCTCAATGATGCAAATTGGCACCCTTTGACTTTATTAAATCAATAAATAATCTGGATCGGCTCTCGAGCCTCAAGGGATTGTGTCAAGACCTATCTGCCAGCTAGTCGCTCTTCCGGCTTTTATCAACATGCAATCCCACCTTACCAGACGAGTGTTTCGAGCCATCCTGAATAATGAGCCGTTATTCCCCTTGCAACGTTGCAACCGACTTCTTCACATTACGCGACATCACCGGACTCGGAGGCTAGGCCTTATCAATCCCCACCATGCTCAACGACGGAGTTTATTCGCGTTCAACATGGCACCCCCAGCCAATACTCTGCAGTCTGCAACTCTACCTTCTGAGGCCGGCTTGAAACCGATGAGGGACTTAAAGAGGGCGCTGTCTGACAAAAGTAGAGGTCCAGCGCTCGGTGTATTGACAAAGGCCTTTCATGACTTCTTCGTGGCGCGAGCGGAGACTTTCGAGGTCATTACCGGGTATCAGGCGCAACTGCTCTCTATGACATGGAAATACGTGAGGTCTCATGAAGCCGAGCTGGAAGCTGAAGACTGGCAGACAATGTATTCTACAGAGAACCTTGAGAATGTGCTGTTTGTCCTGTCGGAAGCCAAGTGCCTTCCGGAATCGCGTGATGCCGTTCTCAAGGTAGCTCGTTTCGCTTTTCTGGACCTGTGTGCTGATCATGGCTATGGTGCCAATAATATTAGTCGGCCTGCCCTCTCCGCCTATATCAAATGCCAAGCCTTGAATGGCAACCCGGAGGAAGCACGGCATGTTGTCGAGAGGTTTTGGAGCAGGCTGCGCAAGACCAAGCCCTCGCCATGGCTTACGGTGATGAGAGGCTTCGCCATGAACAATGATAAGCAACAACTTCGCTGGACCACTAAGAAGAAATTCGATGAGCTCGGTATCAGATTTGATAGCGAAACTCACGAGCAATTGGTCAAAATTCTCATTGAGCAAGACTTACTGTCGGCTGTCAAGATCATGTATGAGTGTCCAATCACTGGTGACGTCGAGCCTACGCTTGCTACCAAGGAAGCTGTCGTTAAATATACCCTTCTAAAATCCGAGATATCGTGGGCGAAGCCTATCGTTGACTCAGTCTCTCAGGCGCCGAAATCACAGACTGTGGGCATGATGTTGCTGTGGGAAGCGGCCCATGGCAGGAGCGCCTCTGAGATCTCGGAGCTGCTCCAGACATGGGCATTGGAAGATTCGAACGTGAAGACAGCGCTTACTGCCTCTCACATCAATAACCTCATTCAATACGCCAATTCCATCAAGAACCCGCAACTTGCCACCGACTTTGCCGCCCTAACTTCTCAATGGAATGTTGTGCCAGATACGCAAACACGTCTCCTGCGGTTGGAAGCTGAAATTATCGCTGGCAATGTGAGACGGACGATGGAATTGGTGGAAGATCTACAGGACGTCGGCTCATTCACACTTGAGAATTTGCCATTAATGAATAGGCTCCTAAGTATGCTTTGCTTGCTGGGGAATGATGATGCCTTGTACGACCGTGTTTCGGCTTTTCTGGACCCATTATTTGAAAACAACGTCCGTCTAGAGGCAGACACCCTCGCAGCGCTGACGCACCTCTTGCTCTACCGACATGACTGGGAAGGCGTCTCAGAATTGCTCCGCCCCCGTCTTGGATCGTACGACTCTGAAGAGAGGACGAAAATCCGGCAGGCGCTCACTAATTACATCTTGGATACCGCTCAGGATAGTGCAGATGCGTGGGAGGCATACGGATTGCTGCAGGTCGCCTTTCCGGAAACAGGAGTCAGCATGAGGACTGAGATCATGACGTCCTTCTTCAAGCGCGAAAGAGGCGATCTCGCGGTCCTCGTGTTTGGGCATATGCGCCAAGCGGAGGACTTCGCGCGACGGCCGAAGCCTGATACTTATGCGCGCTGTTTCCAAGGCATTGCTCAAATGCAAGACGCCAAAAATCTGGAGCTCGTCCACAACATGCTCAAATTGGATGTAGAAGTGGACCTCAACACCCGACTCTTAAACGAGCTGATGCTGGCTTACGCCTGTTGTGATATGCCAGATAAGAGCATGGAGATATTCCGCGACATTCTGCAGTCAGAGGAAGGCCCGTCCACCAGGACCATCTTGGCCTTCTTCAGGATGTGCGAGAAGCATCATCATGGAACCCAAGAGGCGATGAGGATGATGGACAAGGTCAAACTACTCGAAATCGAGGTTGACCGACGGCTGTATACGGCATACGTCGAAGCGTTGGCTGCGCAGTGTGAGTTTGAGCTTGCGACTCAGGCGATTAACAAGATGCAAGAGGAAATCGGATGCTCTCCGACTTACGACTCGTATGTTGTCTTTCCTCTGACAGACCCTTTATTTTGACGCCGTTGTTGTGACACTGCTAACACTTGCATGTTCTAGAATTGGCCGCCTCTACAATGCCATTCCGTATCAATACTGGAAAGATGAGGTCGAAAAGTGGGCCAAAGCGCACTACCCGGAGCAATGGACACAGCTTGAGAAAGTCGAACGCACCGACCATGAAGAGGGCTTCAAGTTTGAGTTGGATAGCCGATAATTCTGGCCTATAGGGGCATTCATTGTACATATCTTATACGGTGCAGCATTCTGTACAATATAATCAGGAACGAAGTATCAGATCGGATCAAAGCGAACCCCCCCCCCCCCCCCTCTTGGTCTTCAAGGCCATGTATCGTACCTTCATCCTTCCAGCCAACACATACCTTGGTCGTGACGCTACGGCGCACTCTAGGTAGTGCAACGTCGCTGGAGATTAGATCTAGGGTCCGCAGCCTGCAGATCCAAGTGTGATCCCGAAGCTGCTGAAATGACCCGCTGTCACGCCTACCATGCCATTTCCAGCGGAGCATTGCAGATCTCTCTCGCCGGAACATTTGAGGGTAGTGGCTGCAGTACCGTAGCTGTAGTACTCCTACAGAGACACCGAATGAGCAAGAAAAGAAAGCATTGACAGCTTGGCTCGAGGACTTGGGACCCCCGAAAACAAGCACAGAAAGACTTACAATTCCATAGTGAACAAAGTTATACGGCGCCGTGACATACATGTTCTAAAAGCCCGTGGTATTAGCACTAACATCCAATTCTAGTCAGCACCTCAATCCCCAGCACAGCACTTACGGGAACACCATCATTCACATTATTTCCCCGGATAAGCGTCCCGTTCTGCGCAGTGCCAAAGTCGGCAAATGCCTGATTGCCAATCGGAAAGGCCGCGAGGGCATTGCTTCTGATCGACTTGGTTTGGAAATTCTGCGCCAAGGCGATATAAGACATGTATGTCAGGGAGCCGCCAAGCGAGTGTCCTGTGGACTCGAGCGTATAGCCCGGATACTGGGTAATCAGGCTCTGGACCTCGGCGATGACTTCGTCGTGGACGGCGGCCCAGGGTTCGTACACGCCTTTCATGATGGTGACGCCGGAGGGGAAGCTAACGCCAGCCAAGGTCGGCGTGACCTGGGTGGATTCGACGTCGTTGAGGATATCCGTGGCCGTGGTCGATCCTCTCATGACGACCGCGATAGTCTTCTTCGTGGTCGAGTAGCCGATATAACCCTAGGCTCATTGCACGTGTGAGCGACAGTCCAGCCTCACTATGATTCTCAATGAACAACAGGCCAAGGCACCTGGGTATCGGTTGCCAGATCATAGATCTGCTTGGTGATGGTGACATCGAAAGCAGAGCCCAAGCAGCCTGTATAGGCAGCAGAGGAGAGCTCGGCCGCTCGCTGCAAGTCTGCGAAAGCGGATGGATCTGCCGCATGTCAATTAGATAGACAAGTGTCTGCACGGCCGCTGGCTTACAAACCGGAGGTAGCCCGAGATCCCAGCGAGGGTGCAGCGCACACGGAGGACGCTAAGGACAGTCCTGCAACGATAAGGAAAACCTGGGAAAGCATCTTGTCCTTCTGTAGAGGTCTGGTCGAAGCTCGACGATGCGATTCAATGAGAAGACTGCTGATGAATCGGCCATCCAGCAAGACATTCTGGACCCTTTTATACCGTAATCTGCCTTCTCCAACCGAGGCTGGAGGCCTCAAGAGAGTCCACGATGCGTCCATCTGTCATTGTGTCTGCTGTCGTCACAACGACAATGGCACGGGCATCCAGGGCCCAATCACCCTAAAACACCCAGTTCAAGCGCTGCAGTACGAAAATTGACGCAGTCACCTCGCATGTCAAAGCACAGTAGAGGGCTCTCCTCGTCCTCCTTTCCGGAAAATCCCACCAACAACCCTCTCATCCTGTCCTGCCGGAGCAGGTTCTTCGCCAGTAGACTCGCATACTTCCCCCAGTCCAGACAGGTATCATGCATATCCTTCATCAGACGCACGGACAAGGCAAGAAACGAAGACACAACCTCGGCAAGGCTTCATGCCACCTTCTCGCCAACGCTGAATGGCCAGAGAAACAGATAAGGCACTTTGCAGAAACAAGCAAATCCTGCCCAAGTGCCGCCCTGCCGGCATCTGAAACCGAGGCCGATGATGCAGTCTGCAGATGCAGAAGATTGCTCTGTTGAAAAGTCCCCATTGGTCGAGGATATCAGTATGCCGGGGGAATTGTGACGCGTCGGGGTCAGAGAAACGGAGATGAACACCTATTTAAGATAACCGAGCCGTCTAGATGCATCTGCAACCTGGGAGAAGAAGCTAAAAAGTTGAGACGGCGCCGCTACCCCGCATTTTGCTGCAATGTTGGTCTTGGTGTTCGACCAGTATATCTCTTTCATGGGGTTGTCTCGTCAGTCGGCTGCAATGGGAGGGGGCGGATGTCCCGTTAGCCGTATGGACTCATCCTGCTCATGAAGAGTGATAATAGATCACGGAAGTTCCTCCTCTTCAAGACTTTTTATCGAACTAGAGCATCCAAGCCGTGCTCTAGATGACTAAGATGATGAGCTGGGGTGGTTGAGGACTCTGCAGTGAGGAAGCAGTAAACGAGTCCAGCCAAAAAGTGGAAATGAAGGAGATTCTCCTTCACTCCATCCTTGCTTCTGACACAGTTGTGTGAGGCGGTAATACTGCTACTCCAAACCATCCTAAGAAAATAAAAGAAAAGGTGAAGAAAAAGATCTGCTATTCATCAATTACTCATAACCTTTTTACTCAGCCCGTGTTCCCATGCAATGTCAATATTAATGTTGAAAAACCGCCTTTGCGGTCTTTTTGAACCCCCAGCAAATGCAAAATCATGAATCTAGAGAGCACTCAAGTGTCCTTCCTTGTCTAACTATATTACGAGAGCTTAACTGCGGCAAGCCGCTGGGTCATGCTGTGGTATGTGGTTAGATCCAGCATAAGAACCAATACAACAAGGGGACGACTCACAAGTCAAAGAATGAAAACTGGCTAGGACTGCTACCGTGCTTATATACGAATCGGCTCGCAAGGTAGCTGCCGAAGATAGCGCGCAGATAGTTCTCCGGAACCTATCAAAAAGTCTGTCAGTTTTTTGCTTCAGCGTAACAAAGTGGGGGGGGGAACGCACGCGCTGAAGAATGGTGTCCAGACCAATCTTGTCCAGGAGAAGATTGGGAAGGGCATCGCTCAAGACAGAGCGGCGGAGCTCTACATTATCCCACAGGTTCGTCTTTTGCAACTCCTCATCCAGCTGCGTAATGGCAACGCTGAGTCGATCACTCAACACGCTGCGCAAAACGCCAGTCTGCTCATGCTCGCGCCAGATCGCCTCAAATTCCAGTGTGGCGTTGGACTTGATGATCTCCTGCACTTGCTTGACGTAGTCGCTGTAGAACTGTGGTACGGTCCCGTCTTCTCGGATGCACATGTTCTCGACAAACTCCTTGTCGTCAAACGAGAGGGAGGCCAGAACTTCCAGCGATGACGATGTCACACCACCCTTGTTAGCCGAAGCATCCTTGAAGAGGATGCATCCGGCGCGTTCAAGGCGCAACTTGCTGTCCTGGGTGATGAACAGATTGGCACCCTCGACGATGTACGGAATGACAGACTTGCCATTTTGAATGAGCTTTCCAACAGTGGACAGGTCGATGGACTCGGGCCGTCCACCGCAAGGCACAAACATGTCGTAATGCTGGTCGGAGCGCAAGTGGAAAGTGTTACGGAACAGCATTCCATTGTGCACGACCTCGCCGCTGGGAAGCTTGACGTCGCTCTCATCCACCAGGACGCGGTAGCCCTCAGGAGACAATTTCGACAGATCAAATTCGGAGATGGTGACTCGCTTCTTAGCCAGTCGGATAAGCTCCTGGTGATCCAGACCGTGAGGGTCGACAATCACACCGGAACCATCAACAATGGCGGTGTACTTCTCGTTGGCAAGCAAAATTTCGTTGGATCCCAGATCACCGTCGGGACCGCCAGTCTGGAGTTTGCGGATGTTGGAGGGATCGATGCCCAGTTTGCGGTAGATACCTAGTACATACTGGCGCACTGAAAGGGTAGTCATACCGTAGGTATCGTGAGGAATACCACCTAGCCTGGGGCTCTTGCCCGTGAAGAAGGACTTCCACCAAGGAGCACCACGGTTGCGCGCATGTTCTGTGGCCCAATCGACCAACTCGGCCGTGTTCTCGTCGGGGCCCATGAACAGAATCTCATCCTTGCCATGTAGATCAACGATGGGGTCCTTGATGCCCGGGCTGGCTGGCGGCAACAGGAGATCCAGAATGCTGTCGATGTACTTTTCAAATGCGACACGAGCCTTGTCCTGGTGGTTAACATCCAGCAGAATGACACCCTTAGCACCTCCTTCCGGAATATCCTTGTTCTTGCGCTGCTGCGTGTTTGCCAAGTTGTAGTTTTCATCGAACAGGGAGCGCGCATTGATGCTGTAAGCTTCCTTGTTACGACTCTTGACAATACGGATACCACCTCGAGCAATGTCGCGGAAACGCAGGTGGAATCCGCGGAACTCGGAGCTGATCACAAGGAACATGCCGTACAGACGCTGTGGGTACTCGTGTTCGGGCAGGAAATCAGGGTTCAGTCGGAAGCTGAGAGCCACCTTCGTCGGCGTGAAGAAGTTGGTCTTAAGAATGGAGATGTTGAATACCCGGAAGGCGCTCATGACCATTTCGTCGTGCTCGTTAGCAACGGTACTGGAAATGAGCTGCTTCAGTCTCGTGCTGTCCAGGACTTCGTCGACCTGCAAGCGCAGGTAGCTGAGCGTTGGCAGGAAGTCATCCTCTGAGGCGCGAGTCTGCACATAATGGGTGTTGGCAAAGTCCAGGTAGAGCTTGTGGATCAGCTCCGGGTACTTGTTGATGATCTCGAAAATGTAGTCGGCCGTGAAGGTTTCAGTACGCAGCCGCTTCTTGATCTTCGACAGCAACTCTTGATGGACGCTGTTGTTGGCGTCAAGCACGGCAGCCAACGAGGTGTATTCCGAGCCAAGACGGTTCAAGAACTGCTGCACGAACACCCACGCGCAGTGAGCGTAGATAGTCTCCTGCAAACTCAGGCGGCCAACGGCGAAGTGGTGCTGGAAGCGGTTCTGAGGAATGCAGTAAAGAAGAGAGGTCTCCTTGATGATCTGGTGGATGGCTGCCTCAATGGGAGGGTACTTGGCGGAGATCTCTGCATTCTTCAATGGGCGCAGATAGAGAGAAATGACTGTGATGCCGTTGGAGAAATTTTCAAGATACTTCCGAGAGCTGGTCAAGCGGTAGTAGTGGTACAAGTCGGACAGCGCGCTGAACAGACCCATAGCAGAGCCCTGGCGATAAGCGATAACCAGTCTCTTCTCGCGACTGCCTTCAATTTCGAACATCTCAATGACAGGGCCGGCCCGGTTCACCGCATTGCTGATGATCTCCTGGTAGATGGCTTTGGTGTTGGCAGTTGCCTTTTGCAAGAATCTCTTCTCGCCAATGATCTCGATGTCGGTCTCATTGGGACCGGGATTGGGATTGGCGAATTGACACTTGTAAACGAAGTAGCAACGGAGCTGCTGCTCGCTGTCTCCAGGAAGAGGAGTTGGCGACCGGAAAGTCTCAACTCTGTAGCTGTTTTCAGGAGTCGAGTTGTTGATATACTTGGCGTCAATTCTTTGTTCGTAACGGGGCCCATCGACTGACGAAATGCCGGGTTTGCTGGTATCAATGTAGACAGCGTGGTCTTCCGCTTCTTTGTCCAGCCTGATTTCCAGCTTCTTGTCATCCCGTGCATAAGCTGCCACTTTCGCGGCATAAAGAGACAGAATCTGGGTGGCAATAGAGTCGACGGTTTCGGTTTGGAAGTAGGTGTCGTCGATTCCAAGCATGTTGTAGAACCAGGTGGTCTCGGAAACGACAAAATCACTGGGGAAGAAGCCCTTCTCTTCTAATTGGTCCATGACTATAGGCGAAACAGCCCGTATCAGCGGCACAGATCTTGCGCATGAACTTATCCGAGTAATGCATACCTTGTTCCATCTGCTTCTGCTTGCCCTCGAACTTGGCAGCAATGTAGCCGGGATCTTCCTCGGAGAGGACCCGGTGTAGAGGACTACCGGGAATTCCCAGATGAGTAGGTTGAGGAGATGGATGGCGTACAGTCGATCCCGCTACATTGTCGAGAATCTTGTTGTGTGGATATCTTTGAAAGCCAATGGGGGTGCCAGCACCTGACTGAGCGCCATCGCCGCTCCCGTAGAGCTTGGGAACTGATGCGGTGGGAAGGACGTTGCCATTGACATGGGCATCTGAATGCGGGGGGGTGGAAGCGGGGGAGGCCATGATGTGTGTTTGTATCTTTTCCAACGGAGAGCTGAGAGATTGATGAAGGGAAAGAAAGGGGTGAAGGAAAACTGCTGGAGTTAAAGAGTATTAGCGGTGAGTAAGAGATGGAAGTCAAAAGAAAGTTCATGGGAGTGAACGTTGTTAGGAAGCTTCATAGATAAGAAGGATACACGAGCACGGGCAAGGAACCGGGAT